GAACATGGTGTCTATGTGTATGACCTGATGGCTACTGTGGTACACATCCTGGACTCACGCACAGGGGGCAGCCTGGTGGCTCACATCAAAGTTGGAGAGACTTACCACCAACGCAAAGAGGTGAGTGAGGTAATACAGTGCAGGGACAGTCCTGGTGGTGGCCAGAATGGAATTCCAGATCTGTCCTTACCTTCAGTCTGAGCCAGAGAGGTCCAGCTATTACTTTGGTATCAGTGTTTCTCTGTATCTCCATAGGGCGTTACCCACCAGCAGTGGTATCTCTTCAATGACTTTCTTATTGAACCTATTGATAAGGTTAGTTGTAACACACTGCATTCCCCCTTTCATCTCCCCTTTTCCTAGCATCCTCATCCTCAGTGCCCTAGAGGATGCCAGACAAATTTAGGAGGGAGGGATGGGTTCTCAAGAATAAAAAGCATTAGCAGAGCTAACAGTCGCACCTGAGTCCTATCTTCTGTCTGACTTGGGGGAAAGGGGCATATATGTAGGCCATTAAGTGCTTTCTCTTTTATAGCATGAAGCTGTGCAGTTTGACATGAATTGGAAAGTGCCTGCTATCCTTTATTACACCAAAAGGAATCTTAATTCCAAATACAACCTGAACAGTAAGTGGTACAGGAGTAGACCCAAGGTGTGGCCAATTTAGATCTTCAGGAAAAGACCTGGGAAGCAGCTTGTTAAGATTAGGATCTCGCCCGGCTGGGCATGGCTCAGTGGTTAAGCGTCGACCTAGGATCCAGGCGATCAGGGTTCGATTCCCGGTCAGGGCACATGCCCAGGTTGTGGGCTGCAGCCGATCAATGACACTGTAATCATTGATGTTTCTATCTCTCTCTCTCCCTCTCCTTTCCTCTCTCTGAAATCAATAAAGATGTATTTAAAAAAAAAAAAAAAAAAGATTAGGATCTATGCCCTAGCTGGTTTGGCTCAGTGATTAAAGCATCAGCCCATGGACTAAAGGGTCCCATGTTCAGTTCCAGCCAAGGGCACATACCTTGGTTCCAGGCTCTGGCCCTGGTTGGGGCAAGTGCAGGAGGCAACCAATCAATGTGTCTCTCTCACATCGATGTTTCACTCTCTCTTCCTTCCACTCTTTCTGAAAAGCAATGGAAAAAAGATCCTGGGGTGAGGATTTAAGAAAAAAAAAAAGATTAGGAATTGTGCCCTGGCCAGGTAGCTCAGTTGGTTAGAGTGTTGTCCTGATACATCAGTGTTGCGGGTTCAGTCCTAGTCAGGGCACATAGAAGAAGCAACAAATGAATGCATAAATAAGTGAAACAACAAATTGATGTTCCCCTCTCTTTCTCTCTTTCTCTCTCTCTCTCCCTCTCTCCCCCTCCCTCTCTCCCTCCCTCTCTCTCTCCCCCTTCCACTCTCTCTGAAAAGCAATGGAAAAAATATCCTCAGGTGAGGAATAAAACAACAACAACAAATCCCCAACTGATTATTATAAAATTAGTTAGAGGACCCAAAGAACATGTTATGATAGATATAATTTATTTAAGCTTATAAGGACCTGCTTTTGAGAACGGTCCTCACAAAGATTCTTATTACAGCTATTACAACTATCAGAATAGCAACATAAGGGAATGAAGATGGATATATCTAAATGTTCAAACAACTATAACAGAACATTGTATAAAATGATAAACTAGAAGATTTTGTGCTGAACAATGAGAGGGGTTATTAAAAAACAATGAAGTAAACTGAGAATAGAAAATGATTATGGGTATAGTAGTCACCCCTTATTCAAAGTTTTGTTCCCCATTGTTTTAATTACCCAAAGCCAAAGTCTGAATAATTAAATGGAAAATTCCAGAAATGAACAATTCACAAGATTTAAATCGCATGCCATTTGAGTAGCATTATGAAATCTCATGATGTCCAAGTTTATCCCAGAGAGTGGGTCATCCCCTTGTCCAGGAGATCCATGCTGTCTGTGTGCGCTCCTAGACCATTCCCCCAGTAGTGACTTAATAGCCAGCTCAGTTATCAGATCAGTTATCAGAAAGATTGAGAGAGAGACCCTATTCACATAGCCTGTATTCCAGTATATTGTTATAATGATTCTACTTTATTATTAGTTATTGTTAGTGTACCTAATATATAAATTAAACTTTATCATAAGTACATATGTATAGGACAAAACATAGTATATATAGGGGTCTTGGAACATAACCACTGAGGGTCTTGGAAGTATCCCCCATGGATAAGGTGGGGGACTGCTCCAATTTCTTAGTGCCAAAACCAAAATTTAATTCTGTAAATAAAGATCTATATTACTGTCCTTTTAAAAGAAAATAGAATGAGTGTAATATAATTTTCCTAGGAACTCTGGAGATACCAGATTATTTGGATAGAAGGCTTTCAATTGTGATTCTCTCCGTATGTCTCTCTATGCTCAATAAGCAGAGAAAATCTGGGTGATAAGACAAAAGTGGGCAGAAAGAGAAAGATGAATATAATAAAGTAATGTCTATGGGGATTGTATCAAAACACACTGTAGTGGGGAACAGATGAGAGGACTGTTATCCATGTAAATGAAGCACAGCCTGGGTCCAATCAGCTTCTATTAAAATTTTTGGCTAACATCACTTTTGAAGACAGGCTTACATAGAAATGGCTATAGGTCAATTAGACAAAAGTGAATTCATTACATTTACTTGTTTCTCTTAACTATATTCTTTTAGTTGAATAGTTTTATTTTGTCTTCAAAACAGCTTTTTAGGTAATGATCAATTTGTTTCTCCTCCAATTTGCTAAATAATGTTCCTTTTGTTTCTACTAAAGCTGGAGACCAAGGGCCAGAGTAAGGAAAGACTGGTTGGCATAAGGACATGCTTTTGTGTGTATGGTTGGTTGGTTGTTTTTTGAGAAAAGCCAGCCTAAAGCTGTTTTATTGTAATAATAAAACTTGAAATGGGGGTAGGAGGTGGGGTGTAGGCAGCAGTCATTTCTTTCATGAGATCACTACAGGACAGCAAAAGAGTGAGGAGGGGAAGGAGAAGCCAGGAAACTTTGAGATCAGCATGGGGAGCTGAGGTATAAATACAACAGTTACTTTTCATGCTCATGTGGGTTCATCAGAGTATTTTTATAGACAAAAAAGACAAGAGAAAGCATACCTCAGATAATCGTTAGTATTGACATTTCCCTCCAAACCAAAGCCACTGATGTCAGTGAACCTTGAACTTACCTTCAGATTCTACTCAGGCAACATCTATCTGGCAACCTGTGAAAAGGTAAGGGCTCTCCTGAGCATTAATTCTAAGAACTGTTCTAAAATGTTTCCATTCTTTATGACCTGTGTGATTGAAGGATGGAAATTTATATTATAGACAACAGGAATAAAATGGACTCCCGATAATAACACATAGAACTTGAAAGGCAGAGATGAGCTGTTTTCAGCAACACATGAGACTTAGAGTTACTTTTCCCTTTTTTCTCTTTTTAAAATACGTTCTCATTGATTTCAGAGAGAGGAGAGGAGAAGGAGAGAGAGACAGAAACATCAATGATGAGAGAGAGTCATTGGTCGATTGCCTCCTGCACGCCCCCTACTGGGGATCGAGCCTGAAATCCACTGGGAATGGAACCATGACCTTCTGATTCATAGGTCAACACTCAACCACTGAGCCATGGCTACCAAGCAAGAGTTGCTTTACAATTTTATAAGGTCCATTACTTGGGATCAGCTCTATTTAATTATGTGGCTTCCATAACTGTTTTCCCACCTCCTTACTTGTGGAACAATTTATGAAAAATCTGTGCACTAAAAAAATCAACATCTCTTAAAAATATAAATAAAAATTTGTTTGGCATCATAATTGTGAGGTATCATTGTATTTTACAATCAAATAAAAAGGAAGGCAGAGTAATGACTCTCAAATCCATATACCATATGATTGGCACAGTTGAAAAATAAGGTCAATGAACTCTGGTTTCTGATTCACTATTTTTAGCTCCGGTAAAGTTCATTCTCTCCAGTATAAGAAAACTTAAGATTCTTTTTATCCTGGTAAAGAAACTTATGTAGTAAGGGGAGAATATTCTTAGGCACTCTTTAAACTTAAGTGGCTAGAAATAAGAGTCTTCCAACTTTACAAATAGGTTATGTGATCTGGTAACTGATGGGTGAAATTCCTCTGTATTTATATATCTTCTGTGTTTTGAAGCCTGCAAACTGTACATTGTTAATTCACTGCTCTTATTTTCAAACTGTTTAGGCAATCATTTCTTATTAGCCAAATGTAAAATAGTCAAAAACATGTACATAATAAATTAGTTTTGAAGGGACTGGTCATGTATTGAGATTAATGATACATATTACTTAGGTTTGCATCATTTTACCAAAACCATGGGGAGTAACACAGCTAAACACAGCAAGAGAATTAGTTGTTATTGAAACAAATAATAAGTGTGAGTTGTCTTAAACCATATAAAAGTGTCTATGGTCAATATGACCTCAAGTTTTCTTGAACTATAAACTGTAGTGAAATATCTTCTCCCAGTTTGAATGGAGTGAGAGACGTAGTCTCCTCATAGTCATAATGTAAGCACTCTCAAATGGGATAAAGCATCTTGATCAGTTTCTGGCATTTAGTAGGGGCAAAATAAACTTGAATTTTCCCTTACCATTGCTTATAAAGTTTTAAAATAGGTAGCAAAAGAAAATTTTTCATGCTTATACAAACTTTGAATAAATTTTCAAGATATTCTAGCCTTTTAAATTAACATGTTTTGCTAAATTAGTTGGTTTTACTGTGCTTTTTATATTATTACTCAGCTAAAATGACACTAAATGAGTTACCTTTTGAGTTACTGTTTTGTACCTTTTAGACACCGCAATATGAGTATAAGGTTAAATTTGGCATTCACTTACCTAAGAAAAGTTTATCCAATATCATTCTGAAAAGCAAGGGCAGGAAATCAAAAGTTTATCCCTCAGAATGTTTTGCCCCAGGCACTACCAACTGGATTAAGGATTTGTCTTTAAATAAGCATTGCCCTTGGTAGTGTGTGTGATGTTTTGTCTCAGAAGAAAAATATCTATTATTATAAGCTCTATTGTTAATCTTGTGGAAACAATAAACTAGTAGATATTTTGTTTGACATGGTTACTTTCCAGTGACATAAAATATTAAAGAACCCTAGTAGAAGGAGTTACGTATAAGAAATAGGGATAATAATTTTTAAGACAAACAATAAAGATAAGCATTAAAATATCCATTTGTCTAAAATGAAATAATTGGGGTAGTCATGTTTTTCTATTAAAGTCATGAAAAACACACCTATATATTTAGGTAGAATTATATTTATAAAAATTAACAAAGTCAAATACTTTTTATTCTATCATGTAAATAGAAGTAAAAAGGTTATACTTAGTTGCTTTAGGCAAAGCTGATGTATTTTATTTGGTTTATTTTTCTTTTCTTTTTCTTTTTTAAAAATTTATTGGGGTGACACTGGTTAAAATTATACAGTTTTCAGGTGAACAAGTCCATGACACTTCCTCTGCATACTGTATTGTATGTTCACCACCGCAAGTCAAGACTCCTTCCATCACCATTTATCCCGACTACACCCATCTCCACCTCTGCATTCCCCTGTAATCCCCACACTGTTGTCCCTGTCCATGAGTTTTTCTCTCTCTTTTTGTCTCAATTTTCTCACACCCTCACCCAGCTCCCAAAATCCCCCACCCTCGACAGGTGCCAGCCTGCTCT